ACCTTTTTTTTTTTTTTTTGAGTGAATGAAGATTGTTATGTTATTCCTATTCTTTGATGTGTAGGATGGCTGTGTCCTCATGTGATATTTTGAGATCTGACATTATTTTCTCTTAATTAAAGTAGATCAAGATCCATGTAATAAACTCTTGTAGGCATATCCAAGAGACACATGCATTTGAATTTGATAGCATTAACTGAAAACGGTGTACTAAATAGGAGGTATGCTGGTCTGTAGCTAAATTCATCTATACCTTTGAATTGTTTCTAGACTATAAAATTAATTTTAAAATTATAAATTTAAAGCTGTATCAATTAATTTTAAAAATATGAATTTGTCATGATCTATTAAATATAATTAAAATTAAAAAAAAAAAAGACAAATTTTAAAATTTGAATAATAAATTTATAGTGACGTAATTTCTGAGGTGGCACCCACGTAGACCGGTGGGTGTATCCCAAAATTTGTGGGGGTGCGAAGAGAAGATGCGTTGATAAACCCTTGCTCGACGCCTTTGCTAAACCCGGTGAGAAGATAAAGATGGCATGGACTACAGTTCCAGCTTTCCATCTCCTCCCTCCTCTCTTTGCGCTTCATAAACCGACAGCTCCGCCGTGCTTCTTCTCCAATCCTTCAAGTGCTCTGCAACACACACGCCTCTCGCCCACTCTCAGGCTTCCATTTCAACCCTCCTCCTCCTCCTTCGGAAACCAGATTTGCAGGGCCGCCGAATACAAATTTCCCGACCCAATTCCTGAATTCGCCGTCGCTGTAAGCTCCCCTCCTTCTGGGCGTTCATGTAAATGGATGATTTCGAAATGTCTTGAAATAATTTCTTTTCTGTTCAGGAGACCGAGAAGTTCAGGGCTCATTTGCTTACCAAACTTTCTAAGAAAGATATTTACGGGGATTCGGTTCAAGAGGTCGTCGGAGTATGCACTGAGGTATGAACACTGCCATCCTCTGATTGAACATAATAGCTCAACAACTGCATGTCTTTACCTATGTTATGGCCTTCCAACTAAACAGATATTCAACACCTTTATGCATACTGAGTATGGCGGCCCTGGGACCTTGTTGGTTCTACCTTTCATTGACATGTCTGATACAATAAACGAACGAGGATTACCTGGAGGACCTCAGGCTGCCCGTGCTGCAGTCAAATGGGCTCAAGAGCATGTTGATAAAGACTGGAACCTGTGGACTGGTGACGATGGCACCTAACAAAAGCCCCTCTCAAGAATATATTTTGTTGAGATGGGCAGAGTTCTATTGTTATACCTGATTATCGAGTTCAGCTGGTTGCTTTCTTCTGGATCTTTATCAAAGGGATTGTTGATATATGAGCTGAATTTGTTTTTGTATGAACTATCAGAGATCTCAAGAATGACGAGGATAGAACTTAGATAAAGCAAACAGAATCTTTTAGCTGTCATGCTGGACAAAATTTGCATCAGTGTATTTCTATATGGCTTGAGCAATCTTAGAGATATAAAACATTTGATGTCTTTATGAACAATCTAAATTGTTTTAGCTGTACGGTAAGATGAGTGCTGTTACTTTAAGTGAATTGTGGATGTTGATGCTTCTTGTCTAAAACTGATCATTACAATACTCGCCATCAAACTAGTACTTACAGGTGAAGTTTTTTTTTTACCTAAACAGTTAGTTCTGAAGTACATTCATATCAGGTTCTTTAGTCCAAAAGGAGGGTAATGACTAAAATTTACAATTTCCATGTCCAAAAAAATGTAATAATGCACATACTTCCTTACCGATGGCGTTGATCGAGCAGTTCCTCCCTATCAATGAAACGCTCGAGAAGCTCTTCCTCTTGCAAAACCAAGCAGTCTTTGGCTTTTCCAAACAAGTCGTAGCGATGTTTGGCAACAATGTCATAGACAGCATCTCTAAGAGGAGTCGGGATTATCAAGAATACGCTCAAAGCTGAGTAGGGGAGAGGCAAATAGGACAATACCTTCAGAGCAGCTGCAAAATTACACAATTTGCTCAAATGGGATCACATTCCTACTGATTAAGAAGGGAACAATATACATTTTGACAGAAGTTTTGTAACACTAGTAGTAATAAGTCAATCTACACAAAAATAGAGAATGAATCTCCTTTCTAAAATGCTACATTAACTGTAGCAATGAATCTCGAGTGTTATGTGGGAATTTAGAGTTTTGATAAGAAAGGCATTTAATGGGAAAAATCATACACAAGGGTAAATGAAGCATCGAGTTACACATGCACACCAGTTATAGAATACAGTGAAAGATCGAAGTTGTCACAGGGATATTTTAACTGTACTTGGTCAAGAAGGATAAGTACCGGTAGAAGCTTGGTAGTATGAACCATGGCCCTCAATGAACACAAAGCGACGGTAAACATCCTCTCTGTCTAAACCACTCAGTCTCAAGTATGGTTCAGCAGCTTTGGACTGAAGGCAGCAAAATTTGATCTTCTTATATTTGTCCGCCTTTATAACCCACTTCACACCTGCAAATTTATCGATAAGCAGAACAAAGATAGAAACATAACTATGGAGGGATAGATACAGAATGTTCTGGAAGTGAAATATTAGGATGCAGCCTCTAAGAATTTGAGCATATACTGGAAGTCTGGAAGTGAAATAACCTAGAAACACGATGTAAGACTAAAAGTCATGGAACCCGTAATCCCACCTGGATAAAACTTTCAATCATCACTTTGGAGTACAATAGAATTTATCAGGTTACCAAATTATACAGATGATAAAGACTCGAAAATCAGTGTTGGAACAGGAAGGTTTCAATTAATAGCGGCGAAGATTTGTTTCCTTCTTTCTCTCACAAGTAATTATACATACCAGACCAAAAAGGAGGAAGTAAAAGTCAGGATTCCTTTCACAGATTCACAGGTTCTAAGAGCCATCAAACTCCTCCAAAAGTTGGGCGGTACCAATGTCGAACAGTTCATAGAGTTAAAGACAAGGTAAGGAAATTCAAAACGCCGCTAAAAGACATAAACAAAAACAGGAAAAAGAACGGAAAAGATGTCACAAGATTAAGGGAAAAAAAAAAAAAAAAAAAAAACCTAGAAGGCGGAGTGGCTTTAAATATTAAGTATACAAGAAAATGACAATCTGATTATGCGCATTCTTTAGTTCTTTGAATGAAATTACAGGGGTAGCAATGGCACATTCTCGTGAAACAGAGGAACCAGAATGAAACTGTATACGGAGCGTTTTAAAGAGGGAGAGAAAAGAGATCGAACCGCGGTGGCAGAGATGGCAGACACCGTCATAGACAACAACGCGAGGCTGGAGAAGAGAAGGAAACACAAGCTCGACAGCCGAAGATTTCGCAGCAGCAGGAGAGACGGCATCGAATAATTCCTCAACAACTTCTTCAGGAACATCGGCAATATCCGGAGGCGCAGCAGTAGAGCAATCGATGCCGGAAGAATACGTTGACGGTGATGAAAATTTAGAAAAAGATATGCATCGAAATGGGGAAGAAGAAGATGTAATAGTAAAGGAGGTGGCTCTGGTTGTCCCTGTTGATGTGAAGAATAGGTGCCGAAACCGATTCGCAAGAAGTTTGGTCGTCATTTTGGATCGATCATCACCAGCGGTTTTCTCTGTTTCTGAACATTTCGGAAATGGAACGAGAGGTTTCGATTCCGAACTGCCTTCTCTTCCTTCAGTCGCAAGCAGCCTGAGGCCCATGAACCAAATGGGCCTCGGTGAAGTGGACAGCCCAAAACGTTAAAAATAGAAATTTAAAAACGCTAGAGGAAGGGGTTGAACCTTCGACCTTGTGGTTAACAGCCACACGCTCTAACCAACTGAGCTACTCCAGCAGATGACGTAATTTTGAAGTACGTCCTACTGTATTTTAAATCCATGGGTGATCAATTTTCAAAAGCTAGAGATTAGTGGCTAACACATTGAACATTAAATGTCCACGTGTAGTTGGTTATCACTAAAGGTCTCCAAGTCAAGCCCGAAAAATGTCGAATTAATTTTTATTATTCATTATTTGGATGTATATATTTTTTCGGTGGGTGTCATTTCTTGAAAACTAGCTGAAATTAGGGATGTCTTTTCCAAGCAAACGAAGGTCCTGTTTGTATATAAATTTTTTTGTTGGTGGTCCTTTCTTAAAAACTAGGTGAAATAAGCAAAATATTTTACAAGTTAATGAAGGTGTCGTGATACATACTAAAGGTCTTCAGTTTAAGTCTGGGCGACGTTAAGTTCATTTTTATTGTTCATTATTTGTTTGTATATTTTTTTTTTCTCGTTGGTTGTCATTTCATAAAAACTAGCTGAATGTAGCGACGTATTTCCCAGGCCAACGAAGGTGTCGTGGTGTAGTTGGTTATCACGTCAGTCTAATACACTGAAGATCTCCAGTTCACGTCTGGGGACGTCCAAGTTCATTATTTGTTTATATATTTTTTTTTCGTGTGAGTGGTCATTTCTTAAAAACCAGCTGAATTTAGGTTATAAACATATGCGTGGGGAATAAATTTGACGTTGAAAATGGGTTGAATTGAAAGAGAGAAATAATGAAGAGATTGGGAAGCCCCACGTAAAATGAACAATCTTATCTTGAAGGAGAGTGTGTGGGTGGCAAATAATACAAGTTTTGAATCAAATTCATTTCGCATTTTAAATTATGCACCACCAATATCACCTTTCATCCTATGGCTAGGGGATATTTTTCATCAATAATGCCATCCCGCACCATACAAATACTTTGATTCGGTGTTGATATAATAATCAGCTCATTCTAATATATATATTTTTCTTTTGATATTGCGCAGATGATAATATAGAGTTATGGTATTTTATTAGGTTCATAAAGTATAAATGTTACAATTTTTTAAACGTATAAATAGGATGGATGGAAGACGTGTTTGTTGGAGGATCTAGTGATTTGAGGAATTTTGAGATGCCAACCCATTTGGTTCGTCACCTACTCATCCAATGTCCTTGTTGATTAAAAAAAGGGACAAAAGATCATATCAGGACACCCGCACCCAACGCCCCCCTTCAACTTGCCGCTCCCTTGTATTTTCCCCTTTGTCTTTGCCCTAACCTTCATTTTCTGGCAAAATCTATTGGCAGTAGGCTATTATAAATGATATTAGAGTCAGGTAGTGAACTGTGTGCTAGTAAGAACGTTGGGTCCTTAAGAATGACAAATTGTGAGATCACACCTTGACAAGAATGCTGGGCTGTTACACTACTATTACTCATTTCCTTTCAACTCCCTGATAATTCCCCCCTTCACTGTATAAGTCATATTTGTTCATTCTCAAAATTTGTCAATTCTCTAAAATGTCCTCATAGTCAGATGGAATTTACAACCAAACACAAACACGTTTACGTGTCACAATAGAACCATCCTAATTTATAAAGAAATACCTAATTTTAATAATTGCTAATCTATTTCAATCATTTTATCAACACAACTATTTAGTTCTTCGGTATCATTTTGAGCTACATTCGCATTGGATATTTGAAAAGAGTCGAGTGAGTGCTAATTTAAGTATTTAATTGGAATAATAAAACCAATTAAAATCATATTTGGTAAGAGGTTAATTATGCTATAATATTGTAGCTCATGATTCAAAAAAAAAAAAAAAAAAGAAAGCTAGTAATTGACGTGGCGCGATATTATTGGGGGCTGGATTGGAATTTGGAACTGTCCTCCATTGCACAAACATTCTTGTCAATAAACGGAACCCGTTTTTCGGGGTAAAATGTTTCCCGCACTTTTTTTTAATTTATTTTATTTTATTAAAATTAAATATCAAATATTATATTTAAATTAAGAAAAAGAAAATAAATAGCGTCGCTATTAAATTGACATCATATATATGCAGACAAAGCGGTGCAAGCTTCCAAGCCCCAACTTCAACCAAAACCACTTTTTCAGTTTTTCTTTACGTCACACCGGCGTTAAGTATTCCGTCCAACTTCTCCTATCTCTTCTCAGCTACTTTTGAATCTCTCTCATCGGCAAGATGGCAATAGAATGAGGAGTCGGAAGAGGTCATCATGTCCGTATCGATTTCCAACTGCTTCTCTAATTTAATCTGCCAGGAGGATTCCTCCGGCGTCTTGTCCGGCGAGTCGCCGGGGTGTTCTTCCGACTTCGATTCGACGGCCTGCGTTGAGGAATCTATCGCCGTCTTCATCAAGGATGAGCGTCGCTTCGTCCCTGATTATGACTGTTTCTCGCGCTTCCAATCTCCATCGCTGGATGCGGCCGCTAGACTAGACTCTGTTGCATGGATTCTTAAGGTAAGAATTTTTCCTGTGCTTCTCCGATTCGTTTCACAGTCATTTATTACCAAAATGCCACTCTTCACGTGACGAGTATTGAGGTTGAATTATCACACCAGAATCCGTCGGCGATCATTGATACTCAGTCAGATCCGAGTCGATCGAATCAGAGTCCGTATCAGTGGCCGTCGACGAATCCGTTTGATATATTATGATCATGTAGTACAGTTAACTTTTATATTTACCTCCATCTCCGTCGCATACGGCGGTTATTTATGCGATTATACCTTTTGCAGGTTCAAGCCTATTACGGTTTTCAGCCTTTGACAGCGTATCTCTCCGTCAACTACTTGGATCGCTTCCTTTGTTCACGCCGTTTGCCGGTGAGATTCTTTAGAGAGAAAATAATTATTTGTGTGAATTATTTTGAAGATTCAAAATGTTCGTGGAGGGATGCTAGTGATCGTCATTTTTTTTTTTTTTTGTAACATTTAATGGGAGTAATTATATTTGACTTATTCAAACCATGAAAAGGACTAGACTGTAGCAATACTGAGCATGAAACGTATTATTTAATATCTTATTTATTTATATTTTCTGTATTCCGATTAAGACTGCATTAATTTGTTTTCAAAATAAAATATCTAACTCTCTAAAAATATGTGTGTGTTTGTGTAAGTTAAGTTTTTGGGAATTGGGGAAATAGTTAATCGAATAATAAGTAAATTATGAGTGAAGATCATCGTGCACTTCACTCTGTTAAAGGATTGTTAAAGTTCTGAAACCATGATTTGATATTCATTGTGCCTTTTACAAGCTTTTGTTTCTTCTGTCACGGCACATGCAATGTGCGTGCACAGTGCCGGCAAAGAAACGGATAGGATGAACTAATTTGATATGACAAAATCACCAATGAACTCTCACCTAAAATAGCGGTGGCATTTATTGTTTGCTTATCTCTACTTAATGACGATGTTGATTCATTGGGATATGGAATGATTAGCGCCTAATGGTTGGCTAAATTTTCTATTCTTCGTATTGTTTTCAGCAAACAAATGGGTGGCCATTGCAACTCCTCTCTGTTGCTTGCCTGTCACTGGCTGCTAAAATGGAGGAACCTCTTGTTCCCGCTTTACTAGATCTTCAGGTTGGTTTAGTTGGACATATATTATTCCTTCTCTTTGTGGAGAATGGGTAATGTTGGCGTTTTTTTCTTCTTTCTTGGTGTATTATAATGGATTGTTTTCTTTTTCCTTTTCAGGTTGAGGGGGCTAAATATATATTTGAACCCAGAACAATATGCAGGATGGAGTTGTTGGTGCTGAGGGTATTGGATTGGCGGCTGCGTTCAGTAACGCCGTTCAATTTCATAGCATTCTTTGCGTGCAAGCTCGACCCATCGGGAGATTTCATCGGGTTTCTTATTTCAAGAGCAACAGAAATTATAGTATCGAATATCCGAGGTAAAAAAGAAAAACTAAACTGGGCTCTTTTTTAGGCATGGATTATAACTATGGGGCTTGAAAGTGAAATCAAAGTTGTGTATCTGGTCCACAGAGGTAATCTTTCTGGATAACTGGCCATCGTGTATTGCGGCAGCCGCCTTGCTTTGTGCAGCAAATGAAGTCCCGGGTTTGTCTGTTGTCAATCCAGAACATGCTGAATCATGGTGCAGCGGCCTGAGGAAAGTAAGTGCCAGATTGTGATTATGTTGGGCATGTGTGTTTTATACTAAAAAAATATATCCTCATTCGAATATATTAGCAGGAAAATATCACCGGCTGCTACCGGTTAATGCAAGAGATTGTGCTTGTTAGTAGCCGGAGCAAGTCCCCCAAAATCCTACCCGGCCAGTTTAGAGTGACTGTCCGTACTAGTATGACATCCAGCGACTTATCCTCCTACTCCTCTTCCTCATCTTCGTCATCACCAAACAAAAGGAGAAAATTAAACCAGAGCAGCGTCTGGATAGATGATGACAAAGGTAACACCGAAGAATGAGAGGTAGCCGAACTTTGTCTAAAAGAAAAAAAAAAAAAAAAAAAAGGTAGAATCCTCAATATTTTTTGGGAGGGTTTAGATATTAAGTTAACATAACTAGAGTGGTGCGTGGTGCGTGTTAATTATAGTATGTAGTGTATGAAATCTCAAAGTTCGGGTGAGCTGGGAGATTTCAATAATTTATTTATTTATGATCTTGTTGGTGGGAAATTGCCATTCATTAATGGCTTAGCTGATTCCCAATGGGGGGAAACTAAAGGAAAGGGGTTTGTTTGATTTTGAGGGAAATGGCGGAGTGTTGAATAAGTGGAGGAGTCCACATGGAGTGTGGAACAGAAAAGTTTGATTAATTTTCCCATCTCCAACAACTATATTTTGCTCCCCATTGGTTGGGCAGTAAATAAATTGAGTGGTTGTTTATGCACATGCTTTTTGGGTGCGTGGCATGCTCTAGGGTGTCAGTGTGTACTGTACGAGTGGACTGCCCGCCCCTTCGGCTGGAGGAAGTGCCTCTTCTTTTTCATTGGACTTGAGCCAACCGGGCTGGCCCTTCTGAGTTCTGTGAGTTTATCTTCTTCCTTTCTATTTATTTATTTTTCAAAGCCTGCGTTAGATGAAGGGAAAAAATCCCAAGTATACAAAAAGGTCTTTGGGGCCTTTGATTGCTTGTTGTATTTGTTTCAATCAATGTGATTAATTTTCATTCATTTCCCTCTCTCTCTTACTCTGTTCATCGCATGTGATTGACAATCAATATTTTGTAGTTTTGTGAATGGGTTTTTCTTCTCCGCATCATAGTGTTTATTATATGAGAATGAACTCTCTCAACCAGCTGGCTGGCCCTTGAGATCAACTGTTCTCAATTTTAGGACTAAAAGTGTATATTATCTTAACAACTTACGTGGTGATTGGAAAGTTCAGTAGTTCAAGAAACAGAATTGGGAGGGCAACCAAAAAAAAAAAAAAAACAGTAGAAATTGTCATATAGCCCTTAGATTCCCGACATAACAGGTATTATTATTGTGCATAACTATGGCCCCTTTACTCATCGATTGCAAAAATCCAGCCAGGCGTTTATCACTTTCTTGTTGATTCCACCACCCAAATTTAGGCATTCTCTTCCCTTCTTGTACCCCTTATCTTCTTTTAATTGTAATTTGTAAGAATACATAGCGACAATTATTACTCAACAATCTTCTGCTGGATGGGTACTTTTAGATTGCAAGATATTACATGGTCATCCTCTAGGACCATCATGTTGGTTTTGGAGTAAATATTTGTTTTTTGATTCTCCAAGAAAAATTAGATTTTGGAGTAGCTTTTCTAGTCCATGATGGGTTTCGTTCGTGTATAGACTTGGACGTTTCTACCCCTACTTTGCAAATCTTGTCAAAATAATATTTATTAGTTAGTGTCGATTTATATTTTAATTAATTGGAAAGACTTCTATGCATCATTTCATATTAAATCTAATATAGCAATTTGATTTTCTGAAAGATAAAAGTTCCGTATGATTAACATACTATAAGATAAGAGGGGAGTATTAAAAATTTGATTTATATAGTACTAATGAGTTATAATTTTTTTCCCTATTTTCGGAAATGAGTTAGTAGTATATTTTTTTAGGAGTTTGTTGGTAGCTTATATCCTATTATATATATATATATATATATATATATATATATATATATATATATATAAATTAAAATATCTTATTAATTTATTTAGCTAATCCTCGTCTCTACCAATTATGGATGACATCTTAGGAAACACAGAAGTGATATGCAATTCTAAATTATTGAATTTATATTGGTAAGTTTGGAGCATATGAGCATCCAATCCACATTAATTAATTAAAAAAATCTTGATACATTTGCTAAATATTGTGGATCCCCGTAAACAAAGCTGTTGTATCATCCGATGGTTGCGATTGAATTACCATTAATTTGAGAACGACTTCACAAATGAATTAAATGAATATTATTATAAGATGGGTTCCACTAGAATTTGGAGTATCCCCAACGCCAATTAGAGCCACGCCACCCATCTTCTCCACCAAGAAGGCAGGCATTAAAGTATATGTGGGCCAAAGACCAGAAGCTAAATGATCATCTACTAATTAGTATTATCCGGCCGAAGCCACCTCTTGAGTCTTTGTAAAGGTACGTACATACAATAATCTCCTCTACACTAATTGGGTTCTGAATTGATTGGGGAAAAAGGAAAAAGAAAAAAGAAAAAAGAAAGATACGACTCGGAGAAAGATGATTTATGAAAAACCGATTTTGAAATATCTGTATATGCAATTATGAGTTTGTTTTTGTTGTGTTTGATTGGCCCAAGTGGACAGCATCCAGCGAATATTTCCATTAACGCAGGCTGCTGCATAAACAGACATGGTCACAACCTGTTTGATAAAATGCCTGAATGAAGAACAGGGAAAATGCCTGAATGAAGAACAGGGAAGGGAAGCCTAGTTTTAAGCTTATTTAAGATAGCCAATTTTGATTAAATGTGAAAATCATTTACATTTAGAGTGAATAATATCATACCACTATAAAGATATTTAGAGCATCCAGTCGTTTGAGAGTGAAAAGTTTATACATATGAGTTTTGGATTTTATCACCCCTGTTGCTTTTCACACCATCATACCTCATCATTAATCCCGAGCAAAGTTTGGGAAATCTATAAATATGTGTATGGATCATTTTGTGGCAGCTAGCTAGATCTATGAGTGCCCCATTATTTCTATATATATATATATATATATATACCAGTAAAGTTCTTGACTTGGGATAAGGAACAGAGTTACCAATTCTTTTTGATAGCTCATTCGTATAGATATCATCTTCTCTTGATTTTTCTTTTCGAGTTTTTCCTTAAAGTTTTTAAAATGTGTTTATTAGGGAGATGTGTGTTTTTGTTTATCTCTCTAACTGTGAGATCTCACAATGCACCTCCCTTGAAGGGGCCAGCGTCCTCACTCGCATTCATTTCCCTTTTCGATCAACATGGGATCTCACAATCCAATTCCTTGGAGTCCAGCATCCTCGTTTGAACTTGTTCATCCCTCGGTTTAAAATTTTGGAGTGAGTGGAGGTGCCCAAATGTGTAGTAGTCCTTGGAGCAAAATAGCTTTGCTTTTGTTCTTCAATTGAACAAGGAATGTGGGTTTCTCTGCAGAAATGAAAAACTTATAGGCCCCTTTTGCCTTTTTGAAGTAAATGGCTAAAAAGCTTCAAATGATTCCGAAAATTCCTCAGATATGCCTCCAGATCTTCTCCTTTATTCTTTGAAGTATAATGATATATATATATATATATATATACATGTGCTGAATGCAATACAGCACAGCTCTCAACACCATTGGGCTCCCCTTTGTCACTTCCACTGTTACCATCAAACATCAATCTTCACTGCTAAACAACAAACAAACATACAAAAGCTAAAGCAAAAGTAAGTCCCGAAAACGACTGTTTCATGTTCACTTACAAAAAGAGAATGTCACATTATTTACTTTTCTTCCTTCTTTTTCCCCTTCAAAAACACTTCCTTTAATGTATTTTCTTAACAAAAATTAAAAAATTAATAGTAAAAAAGTTCTCCAACAACAAAATAGATATCAAACGATATGACACGACAAGTAAACAAACATAGTGGGTATCATTTAATTTTTTCGAGGGCGCGTCTGCGAGTATCATTTAACTTTTTTGACATTAAAAAAAAAAAGGGTGTTTATAATCATCACATTTATCTTCCTTACTTTCATCGTCATCATCATCTCTATTTCTCTTGTTTTCTTAATAATTATTTCTTTTTGTTTTTTTTTTTTTAAATAATTTTCTATTAAATTAAATTATGCAAAAATCTTAGGAGAGGGCTAAATTTGGAATCTGGGCTGAATTTGACCCATTGCCTCTGAACATGGACTTTGGTAGTTAAGTGGGCTTAAGGCCCAATATTAATTAATGGACTCTTTATGGGCTTTTCGAATTGACGCCACGCGAAATTAGGGATGAGCTTAGGAGGTGGGATAACCCCATCCAATGGCGTCCTACAGTTGCGTTCTGGTTTCAGCCATTGCAGTTTCTCCCGCCAAGACTACATGCTTCAACGGACTTAATTATCCAACATTTTTCCCTTCTTCTTCTTCCCTTGTAAACCCCTTTGTTAATTGTACCTTAACTTCTTCCATCATATACAGAGCAACTCCGGCCCCGGCCACGGCCACCTGCGTTTACCCTGATCCGATACCGGAGTTTGCAGAAGTTGTAAGTTTTTTGCGACGTAGCTTCTTTGTCTGCTTAAATTGATTCCGGTTTGTGTTATGCGACCGCGTTGATTAATTCATTTGGTTGTTTTTCGCAGGAAACCAAGAAATTTAAGGAGCAGTTATCGAAGAAGCTAGCGAAGGATCGCGAGACGTTTGGGAACGACCTCGATTCGGTTGTGGAGGTTTGCTCAAAGGTAATCATTGTTATAGAATGAAGAGGTTGTGATTTTCTAGTTTGAATCCCTGATTTCGGTTGAAAAATGTGTCTGAATCAGATGATGCGATTGTTTGCTTAGAGAGTTAGTTTAGTTTAATCGTGCTTTTGCCTTCAAGTGTTTCCATGGCTTGAGATGAATAATTGAGACCTGAGAAAACATCAGACCTGCCTATAGAGCTACAGAACGATCACTATTTCCAAGACAGCTTCATTAATTGCGCAAAATTGTTCCGAATGTTTGACCTATGCTGCCATTATTGATATACTTCTTGCATTTTGATTTTTTCAAACCAGAACTGAACGAATATTCCAATTTGAATTCAGATGTCCGAATTTATGTGAGCTTAACATGAATGTACTTTGCAAGTTTTGAGCAGATATTTAGTGAATATTTGCATGTGGAGTACGGAGGTCCTGGGACATTATTAGTGGAGCCTTTCACTAATATGTTTATTGCTCTAAACGAGAGGAAATTACCTGGAGCGCCTTTGGCTGCAAGAACTTCGCTTCTATGGGCTCAAAACTATCTAGATCACGATTGGAACATTTGGATCTCAAAACGAGGGCTCAAATGATTTGCTTCTTGTTGTTACATTTGTGAAGATTGGGTATTTGAATCTAGATTCTGTTATGTTTTTTTCTCATGAGTTGAAGATGGAGGAACAAATGGTTGTATCAACACAAAATTACTCCAATACATTGTCAATTTCATTGATTTGATATCTTTGTTGCTATACAAATGTCTTATTTCTTGCAGTACATGAATCATTCTGGGGCTCTAGTTTCACACTGAATTGGAAACTTGGATGCCCATTTTCAAGCTCTCTCTGAATCCTCTGCCATTGCAACGAGCATCTTAAATCAAACTCCTCTATTCTGCCGTATGAACCACGCTTGTGCTTGTTATGATGAAAAAAAGTATGACACATAAATCAGGCGGCAGCTTCAGAGATGCTCTGCAATGATGGTCTCCAAGCCTTTGACCTCGCCGCAGTGGCATTTGCTGCTGGTGTTCGAATTCGATGTCTTTCATGTTTGACTGCCTGCAATGTTTTTTGTTTTTTCAGAGAGATTATTGGTATGATTTTATCTCGGAAAATGATTCCCAATCACAATCATGTTTGACTTTTTCACTTTTCTGTTGCAGTGATCGATTCTGATTCCAAAGGAAACAATTGAGTTTACCTGCTGGTTCTTTTCCGTCTCTTCTACTTCACCGCCGGCAGCCCGCTTCTCCTCCGACTCCATCAATGGCTTCTTGGATTTTGCATACTTTTTAGCCCGCAACACCTTCATAACCTCTGGAGGTTCCAAACAAAACGTCGGTAAGGGCTAAACTTACTACTAAACAGAGAAGGAACAGAAAAGCTGTATCATACCCTGAGTGGTGACGAGCCGATAGGCATGGCCAAGAGCAAGAGTGTCGTTTGGCCGGAGAAGCTTAACACGAGTAAAACGCACCGTTTTGGGCTCCGGATTGTCATCCTCAGATTGAGGTAAGGGAATTATAAGAGAAACATAGTGACCCGGATTCGTTCTCATGACCTCACTAGCCACCACCGGCCAATACAGCCTCTCAATCCGGCCACTTGGGTGCTGTATAACCAGAGCCGCCGCATCAACCGCCTGGCAATTCCCCATCCGAACTTTGTGATGGTAGATTGAAAGAAGACCGAGGAAGAGGAGGAAAAGGAAGAAGAAGATGATGATAAATAGGAGGAAAAGAAGTCCCTTTCTATACAGCTTCTTTGCTCGCCAAATGGGTCTACTTAGAATTGCAGGCCGTCCATTCATATACCTCGCACTTCCCAACTAATTTAATGCAACGTGGGTCAAACTTATATCGAAAATTGACATTGTAACGTACGGATAATATAGTATTCAACTTCACCTTCTTTTACTTTTTATCACCAAAAATTACAACTTTGTGGTGTGAACGACAAGTCGGCAAACCCACACTGCCACCGGAAATCGTTATGTTTGGACGGAGGTCAATGTTTTTGGGCTCATTAAATAACTAAACAAAATTAAATACTTGGTTATTAAATAAAGATATTGAAGACGGCAAAGCGTGCGGGTTCATAAGATTCTCCATGAAAAAAGAAGAAAAAAAGGACAAGGACACGCCACCATCTTATCCGCCTGCCTAAAATCTGCAAATTTTTCTCATACTGTTTCGAACAATCCAGGAAAATTTTCTGTTTGGATGACGAGAAAATACTGTTCAAGTAGTGAATGGACTCGAGTCCATTCCTAGTAGACATTATCCTCTTTATGCTTTTACTTTTGTGTTAGATTAACCGTTTATAAAGAAGATGTTTCTACGCCCTTATAAATAATGTTTCATTCTCCTCTTCATCAATTGGTGTAAGATCTCACCGTCCATCTCTTTTGGAGTCCAATATTCTTGCTGACACTCGTTCCCTGTTCAATCAATGTTAAGATTCGACCATGGAATTCAAAATTGGCTAAACTCGAGGATTAATTTATTAATAATAAAGCAAACCCACCTGGAATTGTTTTGTAATTATTATTGTAATTTGAAAGCTGGGAAGAAATATGCTTTAAATTTTGTTTACAACGAGAAAGGAAAAAGAAGTGGGTGTGGTTTTTGTTTTGAATGCGTGAAGCTTTTCCATTTATTTATTATGGTATTTATTGAGGAAAGGGATGTGGAACAGATCGCCACAACTCCCTTCTCCATTTAATTTTTAAACTAATCACTAACATTAATTACACTATTTACCAAACCCTCTACTAATTTTATTTATTTATTTATTTCATCTTTATTTTCAATTAAAAATTTAAAAATTATAAATAGCATCCATGATTCAAATCCACGTATCATTAAAGAATCTATACTATTGGAAAAGATATTTTTTTTTAATTATCAAACAACCTTTATATCATTGTATGTATGATAAGTCTTTATCTGCCTAAAAATGGTTCATTTTTTAAATATTCAAATAAATAATAATATTAATTTGTCTCCTCCTTCTTAGCTAAATAAATGTGAACCTTTATACCCTACCAACTTTTAAAATAGTTTAAAAAATACCCTTTAATTTTCACAAAGTTTTCAAAAATACCTTTTAATTTTTCAAAAGTTCAATTAATATCTTAAATTAAAAATAAACTCTTTAAAAACTTCAAAAATATATTTTATGGATATTTTTAAAACAAATTAGTCGAGTAAAAATGATATGAAGGCAAATGTGTGTGTGATTAATAGGAGATGATGTGAAGGCATGTGATGTGTTGGAAATGCCTTGTTCCTCAATATTAAATAAAATAGACCATTTCTTGTCCCAATGTTGACTCATAATATATATATATATATATATATATATATATATATATATATATATAATACATTAAGCATTTAGAAAGGAAATTAAATGCGTAATTATTGGTCCCATAGTACTATGTATTTTTTTAATTTTTTAAATAACAATAATTTCGTCATATTTATGTCTTTTTGTAAGCTTTATTTAGACATTCTAATGGGCAATTAAATAAAGGCATTACCCACCAAACAAATGTGGGGTTCTTCTCCTTTTGCTTTATTATTATTATTATTATTATTATTATTATTATTATTATTATTGAATAATGGTGGGTTTAGATAATGTAGCATCTTAATCTAAATGCTTTAATTTCTTATTAAATCATTATATTAAACCTTGAGCTATATGCTCCACAAAGGACATTTGTAATCATACCCTTACCCACCAAATTTAAATAAATTTTTAAGATCAGTGGATTCTCAACTTTTTCTCTAAATTACAAACTAAATATTGGGTTATATTATTTACAACTATTTATTTAAATTATTATTTTTTTAAGAGTCACTTTGTATTTAAATTTTATTTAAAAAATATTCTTAAATTTTTAAAAATTTTAAAGGTATTATTAAATTTTTTTATAAAGATAAAGAGTGTTAATGTTACTTTTAAAATTCACGCGTATTTTTTTAAACATGTGGTAAATGTATTTTTTAATTTTTTTTAGAATTTAAAAGGTATTGTTGAAACCTTAAAAATTCAAGGGTATTTTTGTAATAAAGCATTAGCATTTTTCATTTAAAACTAACTCTAAGAATATATTTTTTAAACTTTAAAAATATTTTTAATTTCTTTTTTTTTTTTTTAAAGTTCAGTGGTATTTTTTGAGACAAATACAACGTTAAAGAATATTTTTTATTATTATTAATTTAGCCTTATCTTATTGTTAACTCCGTTAGTTTAATGTTTATGTAGAACACTAACGATGTTATTTACGGTATACGCCAAAAATCAAGTTTCAATAATATATTATTTGCATATAATACAAAATCAAACTAATTAATGAAAAGAAATGTGTTAGATTTGGAATGCAATGATGCTTCCTTATCAATGTTCCAGTTAATCATACAGGAATGTTGTTCCACTAATAGATTGTTAAGCAAGATTAGTGAGTTGATGATGATCCAAAATCCAAATCTTATCCATTAAATAAGCTCTTGTGATGAGGAAAAGAGAATATAAAAGATGTTGGAGAAGGCTCAAGGGGTTTTCATATCATGGTGATTGAAAGTGCCCACTTTTACATATGCTTATACTTAAAAGCTGTGATGTGTTTGATACCCTTTTTGTGAGGCATCATTGCTCCTTTGCTTTTCACTCATCTCCTCTTTACAAGACAAGCTTAAGTTGACGTTAAGTCGCCGATGTTCATGCATCTCATAAAAGAATCGAGTTTAGAGCTTTTTCGGCACTTTTTTTGTTCGTGTTCTCATTAGAATTGATGGATAAATTCTTGCCTTTATATTGGTGTATAAAACGCGTCTGGTAGGAGGAGGTTTCCACACTCTTATAAAGAATGCTTCGTTCTCCTCCTCAATCCATGTGGGATCTCACCATCCACCCACCTTCGAGACCCTGCATCCTCACTGATACTCGTTCCCCTCTCACAATCCATCCACATTCAGGGCTCAGTATCCTCGCTACCACTTGTTCCCCTCTCCAATCAATGTGAGATCTCACAATCCACCTACCTTTAAGGCTTAGCGTCCTTCACTGGAACTTGTTCCCCTGTCCAATTTATGTAGGATCTCACAATCCACCCTCTAGGGGCTTAGCTAATTCGCTGGCACACCTCTCGGTGTCCACCCCCCTTTGGGGCTCAGCGTCCTCACTAACACATCGCCTAACAACCCAAGTTCACCGCTAACAAATACCTCTTGGTGTCCACCCCCTTTGGGGCTCAGCATCCTCACTAACACATCGCCTAACAACCCAAGTTCACCGCTAACAAATATTGTCCTCTTTAAGTTTCCCCTTTCAGACTACCCCTCAAAGTTATTAAAGTACGTATGCTAGAGGAGGTTTCCACACCATTATAAAGAATGTTTCGTTCTTCTCCTCAACTAATGCAGAATCTCATAAGCGGAAAGAAAAAGAAGAATGAAAGCTGAATTATTAAGGGTGGGCAAAGAACATCACCCCCCACGTCCCACGATTGTTTGAGCAATCAGAGAGTGACATTACAGTTAGAAATGGTCAGGTTGTCACCCAACTAAGCCATGGATTTGATCACATCACACAAGCTTTTGCCTCTGGTTTAGAGGACATTTGGAAGGAACATGTTAGGCTAATCACGTGTCTTTTAACACACACTTTTTGGTTTCAGATGGAAGGTTAATTTAGTGCTAATCTCTTGTGTTTTTTAGCTCTTTTTTCTTTAATACTCCTTTCCATTACAAAACAATCCCCACTATGGGACCCAACTCCCTAACCCAATGCCCTGCCACACCCACAAGCCCTTGGGATTGACAGGTTTCAATGCATCCACCCTTCTGTGCCTCTGTTTCCTACTCGGTTCCTTCTAAATTATCTGCTTCCCCTTCCCCTTCTCCACTACGGTGGTAATCTCTCCTTCCTCACTACGGTGGTAATCTCTCCTTAACAAATGTGTTATAAAAAGATACGTAACAGGTCAAAGCAGACAATATCTACTAACGGTGGACACTTGGACGGTTACAACAAGCCCTTCGAAACTTATGGCTTTTTTCTCAAGGAAAAAATGGAATAAAAAGGCAGGTACTATGAGGCATTCTACGTTATCACATTGCTGTGTTTGTCCATCATGCTTTAATTAGAGTGAAAAGGGAGTGGTGTCGTAAATCTCACAGTGAATATAGGCACAGCCCTCAACTCGATGTCAAGACAGCAAAACCATTTAATCTGGAGTGAAGTCAAACAGATGGGAAAAACTTGTTGAGGTTGAAAGGAAGAGAATAGAATTCTTCGCTTCTTGCATCGGTCTTGAACGAGCGGAATTTATTCCACCACTGCATTCCTCTGTCCTTTGTTGCTGCATTGTCCTTGCTGTGTAACGTAACGTCGAGGAACAGAGCCAAAAATCCAGCAACAAATGGCTCGGATGCGAACGGCACGTTGATCATATCATTGAACTGAAACAAGGAGTTCAAAACTGACTAAATGACTGATTATCAACTGGTTTTGATGCTGATATAAAAGTGGTAGGACTGAATCATACCCATCTTGCTTTCGTGTGGACCGGACCATAACCGTTAACAGCGGTGTACTCGTTGAAGTACTGAGGAATTGAGAGCCCCATGAAGATAGAGAAGCCTAATATGAACTTGATCCTAAAACTGTTGAGATTGCAAAACTGAAGGAAGCTAAGACCAGCTGAACCTGCTCTTGCACCATTGATTTAAACCAGACAAAGTTAAGCATTCTGATGTGAATATAGCAGAGAATTCTCAACTTCAAAAACATACCAACATAGGCAAAGAAAAAGCAGTACAGAGCTGCAATTATCGGTGCAGGGATTGAAGCGAAAACGGCTCCAAATTTTCCTGATACGCATCCGTATCCATAATGTTAGTACAGAGCTAAAA